CAATTCTATAAGGATTAGGAATGGGTATGTGCTCAAAATGATACTTGAGGAAAAAATGAAGACAAAGAGAAAAAGAAAAGAGAGCAAAAGCCACAACTGGAATGGTTAATGCACCACTCTGTTTCTGATCTATACTTGAAAGAAAATTAGCTATTAATTGTCACTCCCAAAACAGCCAGTGAATGAAAGCTCTTATCTTGACACTAGAGTCATTTATCATCTGATCTATAGCATATGCTAATAGGGCAGTTAACAGAAATGCTAATGAGACATAACAGGGCAAGAGCTAGACCAGGAAATACATATCTTCCTATTGTATATGTGATGGTACCACAAGAATTGTATTGCAAACAGCATCCAATGGATTGTAGTAGAGTCCCTATCCAACCAAGCCATAGACTGAGATAAATAGCATTACCACGACCAATCTTAGTGTCTGATAACCAACCACAGAAAGGAATAAGGAAATATAGGCCTTTTGTATTTATACTGGAGTAATCATTATAAGATTCAAGTGCACATTGGCTGTCAAAAGAAGTGAAGCCATTCCCAATATCTGACATAAGTAAAAAACAAAATGCTGTCGGTAGATTATAAATGAGCAGCAGGATTGGTGGTAAACTCAAAGAACAAGACTTTAACTCTTTCCTGACCTTACTAACACACTTACAGTACGTGTTCTCCTCCATATAACATTGAAATTCATGTGATGAGGAAGGCACAGCACTCAAGGAGAGTGAATCCATTGAGTCCATTTTTATGTCAGCAATCCTTACAAATAGACAGTTTTTATAGACAAGTGACAGCTAACCATCAATGGCCAAAATATTCACTATATCAGCTGATGAGCTGGCACATTTCAAGCATTGTTAATAACTATACATGACATTATTTTTTTGTGCTGCAGATTTAATAATGTCCTTATAAATAATTTTTCATTATAAAAGAACTTTCTCTTGCCAGACTACACAGGAACTCAAAAAAGCATATCCAGAGTAGAACTAATGATGTACCAGCTAGTAGTGATGGGATGAGTAGTATCCAATAGGATATCTGAACTGCTGAGTCACTCATTTCCCATACACTGAAGCAAGGTATGTCAATAGGCTTACTAGTAACTCTGCCAATCAAATCAATAAGGAATAAACTTAGAATTAAAAATAACTACGACTAATTAATTATAAAAAGTACTCCAGTTTAGAAATGATAAGCTCAATCAGATGCAAGCAGACTATCAGCAAAAATGTAATATATGAAGTTAGACTAATTGACCATACTCACTTAATGAATTGTATCTTCTCTCTGAAGTATATACATTTAAATTATTACTATAATAATAAAATCAAATAGTTATTACACATCAATACTAGAAATAATATAATTACTACTATCATCATTGTAATTAACGGAAGAACTTTTTCGATTAACTTTTTGTTCCCAATGTTCCTCTATTACAGTGCGTAGTCCAAGATCAATATCTCTGACCCTCTTAACATACCATCGAGCCACTAACACATACACTACCAACCCAAACAAAGCAATGACACAAAATATGATGGCGAACCATAAAGTACAAGATGTTAAAAGAAAGATATATTGAAATGCAAGAAATATTGTTAAGCCGATATCAAAAGAAATACCAATAAGGAATAAGAACAATCCAATTATCATTCCATGCATACCAAAAGGAGCTTGACTACACAGGAACTCAAATACACATATGTGAGATAAAACATCTGACATACCGGCTAATACGGAAGGTATGAGAAGTATCCAATATGAAACCTCAATAGCTGGATCGCCTGGCTCCCATTTGATGCAAGGGGCATCAAAAGATTTTTGAGCACTTACGTTTATGATGAAAAACGTTAAAAGAGAAAATATGACCAAAATATTAGACAGACCAAAGCCTTTTAAGGGATTTATTAAAAAATACTCTATTTTTGGAATGAGAGGTATTATAACCAGTTCAAAAAGCGGGATCAAAACTAATGGAATACCGTAACTTATAAACCGAATAACAGCATCTTCATTTTCTTGCAAACCTTCATGGCCATTATCATATAACACTATAATGCGAGAAAAATCCTTGACTAAAAGTTCAGCCACAATAAAGAAAGGCATTGTTGCTAACATAATAGCTAAAATGCGAAAAAATGTCTTTACATTTTCCACTTCTTCATGAGTAAATGAACCACCATACCTCTCCTTAGCAAGATCCATTCTACTGGGCTCCTCTCCCCAGTATGTGAATGCACTACGCTGCTGTCTTCCATTATTTTGAAGAGAAAACTTTATCACTTTAAATACAATTCTGTAAGGATTAGGAATGGGTATGTGCTCAAAATGATGCTTGAGGAGAAAATGAAGACAAAGAGAAAAAGAAAAGAGAGCAAAAGCCACAACTGGAATTGTTAATGCACCACTCTCTTTTTGCTCTGTATTTAAAAGAAAAATAGCTACATTGTCAAGAAAAAAATACTCCCAAAACAGCCAGTGAATGAAAGCTCTTATCTTGACACTAGAGTCATTTATCATCTGATCTATACCATAGGCTATTAGAGTAGTTAACAGAAATGCTAATGAGACATATAAAAGGGCAAGAGCTAGACCAGGAAATACAAATCTTCCTATCATATAAGTGATGGTGCCACAGGAATTGTACTGCAAACAGCATCCAATGGATTGTAGTAGAGTGCCTATCCAACCAAGCCATAGACTGAGATAAATAGCATTACCACGACCAATCTTAGTGTCTGATAACCAGCCACAGAAAGGAATAAGGAAAAATAAACCCCTTGTTATAAGATCACCTATACTGAAGTAAATTTGGTCATCATCATCAGGGACATGTGTACATGGTGAATCATCAAAATAAGAAGTAAAATCATATCCAATATTTGACACGAGTACAAAACAAAATGCTACCGGTAGATTATAAATGAGCAGCAGGATTGATGGCATATTCAAAGAACGAGACTTCAACTCCTTCCTGTAGCTACTAACAGACTTACGATCTATCCTGTCTTCTGAATCACAGATTTCAGAAGAGGAAGATTCATCATTCAAGGAGAATGAATCCATCTTTTGTCAGTCAGCAACCCTTACAAATAGTACACAGTTTATATAGACTAGCCAAAAATGGTCAGAAATATTTACTCTATCAGCTAGCTGATTGGCTAGCAAATTTCAAGCAATGTTCATAGCTGCAACATAAAGATTATCTTTTCGATGATAACATAAATAAAAATGAGATTAATAAACTATAAAACAATACCCTCATCACTCACAATTAATTGGTTTAATTGTATTTGTGTTTTTCATTATAAAAGAATTTTCCCTAGCCAGTCTCTGCTCAAAATTGTCCTCTATTGCAGTGCGTAGTCCAAGATCAGTATCTCTGACCCTCTTAACATACCATCGAGCTACTAACACATACACTACTAACCCAACCACAGCAATGAGACCAAACACAATAGTAAACCAAGAAGTACAGGATATAACTGATGTTGAGCTGAACGTGAAGAATCGAAATGATAAAGTTATACCCGAGCCAATGTCAAAAAAGATGTTACGTAAAAACCAGAATAATCCAATGATCATTCCATGCATACCAAAAGGAGCTTGACTACACAGGAACTCAAAAAAGCATATCCAGAGTAGAACTAATGATGTACCAGTTAGTAGTGATGGGATGAGTAGTATCCAATAGGATATCTGAACTGCTGAGTCACTTGTTTCCCATACAGTGAAGCAAGGTATGTCAATTGGCTTACTAGTAACTCTGCCAATCAAATCAATGAAGAATAAACTTAGAATTGAGAATATGACAAAAATATAAGCCACGCCAAGTCCTCTCAGTGGATTAATAAGAAAGTACTCCAGTTTGGGGAAGAGAGGCAAAATAATCAGCTCAAATAGTGGAATTAGAGCCAGTAGAATACCATAACCAACCACACGAATGGCATATCTTTGTAGGCCAACATCACCATTCTTATACTGAGGTACAAGTCTTGATATTCCATACATAAAAGGATTTGAAATGATAAAGAAAGGAAATAACGCAAACAAAACAGCTACAATACGTAAAAAAGTCTTCACATTTTCTACCTCTTCATGAGTAAATGAACCACCATACCTCTCCTTAGCAAGATCCATTCTACTGGGCTCCTCTCCCCAGTATGTGAATGCACTACGCTGCTGTCTTCCATTATTTTGAAGAAAAAACTTCAACACTTTAAATACAATTCTATAAGGATTAGGAATGGGTATGTGCTCAAAATGATGACTGAGGAAAAAATGAAGACAAAGAGAAACAGACAACAGGGAAAATCCTGTCACTGCAATACTGAGAGCACCTGTCTGGTAGTCTGCACTTGGAAGAGAATCAGTATAGGCAATTGCATTGTCACAAAAATAATAATCCCATACAGTCCAGTGAATGAATGTTCGTATTTTAACACTAGGCACAGTCATCATCTGATCCATACCATATGCTATTATATTGGTAGCCATGAGTGCCAGTGAGACAAAGAGAAAGATAATAGCTATGCTGGAAAAGGCGTATCTTCCTATGAGAGCAGCAGTGCCACAGGAATTGTATTGCAAACAGCATCCAATGGACCTTAGTAGAGTGCCTATCCAGCCAAGCCATAGACTGAGATAAATAGCATTACCACGACCAATCTTAGTGTCTGATAACCAGCCACAGAAAGGAATGAAGAAACCAATAGCATTCAGTATTATAGTCCCTATACCAAAAGCTAGTGGACCATCATGGTGATTCACATAGCATGAGCTGTTCAGAGGAATGGATATGTCATTTGCTATATTAAGTAAGATATGATTGCAAACTGGTATTGATGAAATATACACGAGTAGCAGAATTAATGGTATCGTCAATGAACGAGCTCTTAACTCCTTACGGTACTTGTCAAAAGATTTGAAGATTTTGTCTTTATTTCCAGATACTTTGTGGGTCATTGAGAAGGAGGCTCCTTGGACTGAGGATGAATCATCAATTGAATCATTTACTGTAGCCATTACTAACTTTAGCAAGTCATGTGATATCAGTTTGTATAGACACGTGTGTGTGACATAACTTAATCATCATTCCTTACATCATTATCACAACATGCTTGGAGGAGTTTTAAACAGTCACTATAGACCCTGCAGGCCACAGTTAATGTGTCAATACTAGGCTGTCAGAAATAATTACAATTATTTTGTTCGGCTTGACAAATTTTTATGATATGTGTACATACATATATAAACAAGAGGTTATACAGTAAAGTAAAATTAAAGAGTAAGGCAATACTAAACATACAATAGTTTCATTTCAAATGGAGAAATCTTCATCATCAGTTTCATTCTCTTTAAAAGTGTTCTTTTGTATTAGTCTCTTCTCCCATTGCTCCTCTACAGCAGCACGAAGGCCAAGATCAGTATCTCTGATCCTCTTAACATACCATCGAGCTACTAACACATACACTACTAACCCAAACACAGCAATGACACCAAATATGAATGAGAACCAAGAAGTACAGGACATAAATGAGATTGGGGGTATAGCATAATATGTAATGGCCATACCAATGTCAGCATACACTCCATGCAGGAACCAAAACAGTCCAATGATCATTCCATGCATACCAAAAGGAGTTTGACTACAAATGAACTCAAGAACACATATCCAGAGTAGAGCTAATGATGTGCCTGCTACTACTGAAGGTATGAGAAGTATCCAATAGGATATCTGAATTGTTTCGTGAACTGATTCTGGTTTCCATGTAAAAAAGCAAGGCATGTCAGAATTCTTAAAAGATCTTCCAACCAAATCAATAAAGAATGTACTTAGAATTGATATAATGAAGAGAATATTGGCTATACCTATTCCTTTCAGTGGATTAGTTAGAAAGTATTCTAATTTAGGAAAGAGCGGCAAAACAACCAGTTCAAACAATGGTACTAAAATAATTAAAGGAGAGAAGTTGCCAAGGAGCCAAATAGAATCTTGAACGTGCCCATGTAAATCATCAGTACCATTCTTAAACTGAGCAACAAAATTTGACGAGTTGAACAAATAGGGAGTATTAGAGATACAAATGGGAAAAACAGTGACTAAAACAGCTATAATACGTAGAAAAGTCTTAACATTTTCCACCTCTTCATGAGTAAATGAACCACCATACCTCTCCTTAGCAAGATCCATTCTACTGGGCTCCTCTCCCCAGTATGTGAATGCACTACGCTGCTGTCTTCTATTATTTTGAATAAAAAACTTCAACACTTTAAATACAATTCTATAAGAATCAGGAATGGGTATGTGCTCAAAATGATCCTTGAGAAAAAAATGAAGACAAAGAGAAATAGAGAAAAGGAAAAAAGCAACAACTGCAGTGATAAGCTTGTTTGATATTACGGACAATGCATTTCCACTATAAAGAAATAGCCATGACCAATGAATGAATGCTCTTATCTTGATACTAGACTCATTCATTAACTGATCTATGCCATATGCTATTATATTAGTAAACATGAATGCCATTGAAGCAAACATGAAAACAAAGGCTGTTATAAAAAAAGCATATCTTGCTATTGGAGCAGTATCACAAGAATAGTATTGAAAGCAGCATCCTATAGCCCACAGTAGAGTGCCTATCCAGCCAAGCCATAGACTGAGATAAATAGCATTACTACGACCAATCTTAGTGTCTGATAGCCAGCCACAGAAAGGGACAAAAAGATAAAATGCATTTCCAATTACAATTCCAATCACAATTCCAATGTCAGAAATTTTTTTCGAGTATGATGATGGATCATATTTATCATTCTGGGTTCCAGATAGATGCTTGAAGATACTGTCAAATATTGAATGACAAACTGCAATTGATAGAGCAAAAATTAGGAGCAGAATAGACGGCATGTTCAATGAGCGAGTTCTCAATTCCTTCCTGTAGTTACTGAAACACTTAGAAAAGTTACAACTTGCATGATTGACAAGTGAGGAAGAGGATAACAAGCTCCTTCTTTCTTGTTGAATCGAGTGTTGAATAGAATCCATATTATTGGCACACCCCCCAGGCTGGGCTGAGTTATTCTAACAAGTTTACATTAGGATGTAGCATTTATGTGCATAGTTCTGCTAAATAAATGATGTTCATTTCTACAGCACAAAATTTTTAAGTAGCATCATACCCTATCTAAAGTAACATTAGTCATCCAACACGTGTTCTGTGCTAGTTTCTGGGACATCAATTTAGCTACAATCAAAGCTATAGAGTGTGGTTGGTAACTGGTCCTTTTTAATAAACCATTAAATATGTATACTAAAAGTCAAATATTAGTTTGTTGTGTACCATGCAGTAGAAGATCCAAAAATCAGAACAAACTGCATGAAAGCAAAGATAATAAAGCTAGAGGGAAGGAAAGAAGGAGAGTACATTATTACAAATAAATTAAGTGCACTTAAGCAAGCATTGCTAAGTCAATGTTATTGCTTAGCTGGGTTTATTGGTGAAGCATTAATTATTTTGGAAATTTTCAAGAAACACCAAAATAAATTTTAACAGTAGCTGTCACATGGTAAGAGACAATTGTTAATTATCATTGACAATAATTATTACAATTATATCCATTATCATTACTGAGTATAAATTTTAACTGTATCGCTACCATAAACAGAATATCTTCCTAATTTTATTTTCATTACTCCTTGTGGTACAGTATCATCATCACCCAAACTTCTCCACTCAATGCTATTAAGAATATCATGAGGTAATTGTTCATAAGTAGCTTCAGTGCCTACTATTAATGGAGTATCTTTATCTCTAAAGGCTGCAAATATTGTAGGAAGTTTTGGTTTGAGTTCATCAAAATTTCCTTTATGAAATGCAAGTAATAATAAGTATTCTGTTACTGAGCCCAGTTCAGAGAGTACAAGGAAACACCCCTCCATCACTCTAGCTGACATGTGCTGGCCACATGCACTTGTATAAAAATGAACTGTCCCACTTCTTAATGTAAGAACAACTGGTAATAATAGATATGAATCATCAGCTGAAGTAGAACGAACACAATCATTATTAAAATGTGCATCTTCTTCCTTTAATGGTTCTATATCTTTTTTCATTTCTTTTATTTTGTCACTATTCTCTTTTAATTCTTCTTTTATTTTCTCATTTTCTTTATTTGATTGTCCACAAGCTCCAGCTAATAGTGTCCTGTGTTTAGTATCAGCAGTGTGTACATGTACACTTTTACATGATGGATTATCATTACAACCAGCCTCACTAAACACACAATCAACTGGCTCTACATGAGCAGTGGGACTAGCTTGTGGCACATCACATTTATTGAGACAAGTAACAGGATACTGCCTGTACTCCTCATAATGATCCTTTGTAATAGAGAGGAAAGTGCCTTTACTGCTGCAGTATTGGCATTGAAATGGACACTGAAGGCATTCTTCATCTTCATGATACTTAAGATATCTACGTTGTTTGCTCTCTTGGCATTTCTCATATCGACACTTTACTCCTTCATATTGACATTCTCCTTCTCTCATCTCTTTATTAAGATGAGTAGACATATTCTTCAATTCTCCTTTCCATTGACATCCTTTCTCCTTATTACTGCAGTAGACCTCCAATCCATTGATAATACGTGAACACTTCTTGTCAGCCATTGCTTGATATTCCTTCTCTTTACACATAGGACAGGATCTATTGCTAGCTCTTACTCTCTCAATACAAGGCCCACAGAAATGATTTCCACAGCAGCTCACCAGATGAGGATCTGTTAGGATATTAAGACAAACTGGACATTCTATATCTAGATGCTCGGGCAATTCTTTTACAAGGAAAAGCTCTTTTTTACTGAGCTGAGCCATTGCTACCAGTCACTCCCTTGACCTTTTCAGTTATGTAACCAATGGTAACATGCAGAGTAATGAATATAGATCTCCTTAAATTACTCATTGATGATAAATAAAGTTGTGTCATGATGAATCTCATTAATGTCATTAGGGGAGTGTATTGGCACCCATAGTTAAAACGATGCTTCCACTAACTGAGTCAATCTGTCAGTATAATATCAAATGCACCCATTGTAACCTGTATATAAAATCACTTCCACTAGCTGTCTAAAGCTAGATTGTAACTTAATGTAATGTGTACAGCATGGGTGGCAATGCTCTATGGCAGATAGCAGACCCAAGGCCAAGATTGAGGGTGTTACTCGTTACCACTGATCTCGGGCAGCTATCCAACCAGTAACACCCTCAACCTTGGACTTGGTCAAAGGTATACTTGTGCCAAGGTAGCTATATTGATTTTATTGAGCATGCACAGTAGAACAAAAAGGTACATGGCTTGTGTGACTGTTACTTAATATTTAAACAAAGATTCATCTTGTTAAGTTGTGACATGCACATGTACACTGTAAACAGCAAAAAGTAGGTTGAAAAGGATAAGATGTAATGATTTTGCCAATGTATATACATTAAGATCAAATAAGCCATGTATTGCTAAACTACAAAAAGCACATACATGTATGAGTCATTGCATCACTTAAAGTGCACTAAAATTTTATCATTAAATTGGCATTCTACTAAAGACAATAACAATCAGACCCAATCCTTTACTTTATTCAAATACAAAGGTGACATGATTCATTATGAGTATTAAGGCTGGTTCACAATATTACGTGATAATCCTGACGTTATGCTGATGCTAAATTAGGATTTGGCTTTATTCTAGTAGAAAGCATGCATCAAAAGGTCGAATTGCCCATACTTTTAATTAAAAATTGACTGTCACGGTATACTGGAATAACATTATATTGTAAACCAGCCTTTAAGTAAGTCATTATGAACACTTACCTCTACATTAGACACCTCTAATTATTTTAAATTTCTTAAACCACTGCCAAACTCCAATAGCCACTTCTGAGAATGGATTTTGATTGCCTCAAATTTTCTCACTCCAACAAAGCTATAGGTAAAGCAGAAAATCTGGTTAAGATTTGGAAATGGGCATACATTGTATAGTTAAATTTTTATACACCTAAATCAAATCCTTTTCCCCCACCTAAAAACTGCTCAATTTTTTATTTAACTGAAAATTTACGATCATACAATATAGTTGCGGTATTATAAATGTTTAAACTCATTTCAAATTTCTGATCAAAATTTAAAAAAGCAATTAAATATTTGCAGGTAAACTGGGTATGGAGCTAATGTAGCGGTACATAAATTAATTTTAAGGGACACAAGTAGTGAAGCCGAGTAGGCAAATGCTTCCCCTCCCTCTAAAACCCCATGCAAATAATTAGTACAAGAGACATGCACATAATTAAGGGCTTTTATCAGGCAAAACAAACTTTGAGAGTTTCAAAACTATTGGCAGAAAATGGAAAGCTCAAAAATCAATTTTGTGATTGGATCAGTTTCTAATTATGCAATTATATATAATTTTATTAATATTTTACTTAAAAATTGCCAGGCCATCATCATTATTAAAGCCTCTTCTTCTCAGTGAAATTAGATCTAAAGTGAATGACTGATTGACATCCCGTTGAGTGTTTCTGACCTTTCATTACACTAATCACGTTTTCCTCCAAGCCTGTCATGTTGAAGTGAAGAAAAGGGGAAGAAAAGGATTCCAAATTATGATGCCATCAAAGTTCTCGCGCGCGCGCACGAAACATTTGATCGCGCCTACCAAATTGGAGGTGTGGCTTGGCGCGGGATTTAAAATTCATTTAGTACACTGGTACACTGGCATTGAGTGGTGTTGATTTTATTTATATAAACATTTATAGTTCTATCTCTCCTTCAGACCTTCCCTATTGTGTTCAGCAGTTAATTTCAATGGATATTATTTAATAATTATAAGCATCTGTTATCTTCAAATCTTTACGTATTATCTATGGTTGGTTTGACAATTAAATTTCAATATAATTATTTTAGCATGCTTTATCACCAAAAATTTTTATAGGTAATTTAACAGAAATTTAAACTGATCCTGATACATTTATTGTTTGATATGTTTGATGTGACATGAGATGAATGACAGTTAAAATTAACTGTTAGTGTTTCTGATTATTAGTGTTTCTGAAGTTGAGTGTAAGATGTTGTACTTCCTGCACCCAGCAGTAAATCTAATATGTTATTAATCCTACATGCAATTGAGAAATCAAGGTTAGTTTGATTGTACTAATTAAAGTTAATAAATTTCTGTTGCATTGTTGTAATTATTTCGGAATAATAAACATTGTCAGTCTATTGTTTTTAGCTAGGACAACAAATCTAATAGCATTTTACTAAGGCAAAAAATTATTATATTGATTGAACTGAAACTTGCAATTTTTACAAAATGTATAACATTTTTCTAGAATAACCCTTGATTTGATTTGATCACAGTAATTCCTACGTACTTAATTGCTTTTGATAATTTTGTTATATTGAGTTTTCAAAATGCATTTATTATTTTCTTTGAAAAGAGGAAAATGTTCAGCTTGCCTGTTCACCAAAAATCTGCCATCTTCCTCCAGTTGAGATGTGCATGGGGTTCTTTCAAAGTTACAGCAAGCCCAGCAGTTAAAATGTAGTTGTAGTTGATTCCTACAAGTACAATTCAAATCAGCAACAACGCATTGTAAAAATTTCTTTGTACATAAAAAGTGAAATGCACAGTATGAAATCACTAACTGTTGGTTTCATAGCAATAATAAAATATTCAATCTTGTAACGAGCCCAAACTAGATTTCTCTTATTACACTTATTACAGTGAAAATTCTCTTTAAAGAAAAGACTCCCTTTCAACCACTCACTCTACCTTAAATAACAAAACTAAAAAGGCTAATCAGTAACATACATTTACACATAACTTCACATTAACATATAAAACAGCTCTAGAATATCTATGCATACAATATAATCGTCTAGTCAGATCAATGGTCAGATTGATCTTCTTTGTTAGCACTCCACAAATCTACTCTAATAATTTAAGAAACATTAAGTTCTTGCAATGCATATAGTGTTTGTAATACATAATGTATCAGTGAGACATTTCAGCTGATATTTCTCTATTATTCCAGTATTCTTCATCTTGTTCAATATTACGGATAGTATGATCCTCAGCAATTTGATGAATGTTAATTTCAAAATTTCTCACCCTAAGTTTGTATTGCTTTGCTAAGATGACATATATTAGAAGCAGAATGAGACAAATCATTGCTTCAGTGAGACAAAAGTAGAAACCACGACCTAATGAAAATTTTGGATCCATGAATATGAGGAAAGGTAGAAATAAAGCAAAGTTAACATAATGTCTCAAGTCTCTGAAACAAAGCCAAAGGCCAACTATTGTTCCTCTTATTGATTTTGGACACTGCGCTTGTAAAAACTCAACCAAAACAACATTAAAAGAATACCACACCAAGGCCAAGGCAATACCATCAATGATATCCCATTTTTGTGGTTCAATATTAGACTCTACTTTATAGACAGTCAAACAATGAAACATTGGTGCACTATTATAATTGCCAATTAATGCAAGTACCATTAAAGTAGCATTGATAACAACCATCAACAACATTCCTATTCCTATTCTTTTAAGCATACTAGGAACATAGTTATAAAAGCAAGGGTATATGAGAAATTGATGAAGTAGAACAATTAGAATATATGTTCCTACAAATGACATGTAGCTTTTTAATGATCCACCACATCCATAGTTATTTGAATATATTCCTTGAGTGTTATCTCCATACAATGATGATGATGCAGCACAAATTATTAACAGTGGTAACAGTCTCAGAGTAGTTTTGACATCTTCAACCTCTTCCTCTGTAAATGGTCCACCATACTTATTCTTACCTAGTTCCAATCTTGAAGGAGCCTCTTCCTCCCAGTAGGTTAGAGCACTACGATTCTCTGGATATTTGTGCTTCCTGGCATAACACAATACTTGTATTATTATTTTGAGTGGATTAACTGTGTTTACTGGAGTAACCTCAAGATATTTTTTAAAGAGACTGTGACTAATTAGTACTGTTGCAATACAGAAAACACCAATGGCTAAAGAAATGATGGATACTGTCAATTCACTATTGACTTCTGCAGTTATTGCTGATGAAGATATAATTGCAATAATTGGTCCAGTGTTATGCCACAGTATCACAGCAGTTAATTCATCACTTGATGATCCAATGAGTTGGTCAATATTAAAAGGTAAGAGATTAACACGAACAATCGCATTAGTAATCATCACAATAGGTATGAGACATTTTAAAGCTAGCAATAAGTGTGATGAAGGCAGTAATGTAGCCATTATTATGACAGGAATCATGATGATAAATGAAATGCATGAACCAACAAGAACAAATTTATATCTGCTTACTAAAAAATCTCCCAAGAATCCAGCCAAAATGAGAATAAAAGCAATTCCAATATCTACTATACCTACAAGTAGTCCAAAATCTGAAGAGTATGCCATAAAGTTTCTTATCATGTTCATACTGATTGCAATCATGAAGTCCCAGAAGAGCACAAGCAAAGCTCCTTTTGAGTGTATGAACTGAAAACGATAAGGCAAAGGGCAAGAAGGACTTTCTGAAGCCATACTAACTGATGATCTAACTAGAGAAGCTTTGGGAAAAGAAAGTAATAGAAATTGACTTTATAATCTACAATGGCACTGTTGACTTATTCAAATCCACAATAGGAATACATTAATAATAGTTTTCAGTTTTATAAATTACCGCATAATAATAATGAATACTGTTGATTTCTGTATTCTGCAAGTAATGATGACATACAGTAAAAGTGACATTTCACTTGCCCCAAACTTTCTTGAATGAGTATCTCAGTGAAACATTAAAAAATGCAAACAGTACATGCAGTGACAGATACATGTAAGGCCAGATTTATACCAAAAAGAACAAGGGAATTAGCAGTAACAAACATACATGGAGCAAAGGGACCAGTGGCAAGAATTAAGGGTACCGTAACAAGGGAAACAGAATAATTAGGATAACAGAGATTACCCTCATCACCCTTGTTTTCCTTGTTATTACCACTGTTTCCCTTGTTACTCTATTTACCTTGTTACCTTTTCCTCTCATCACTGGTTCCTTTGCTCCATGTATGTTTGCTACATTGTTCCTTGTGGTAAAATCAGGCCTTATATGTACATATCTGTCACAGTTCCTGATGTTAATACTGTTTCCATTAAATGTCACTTATGTTAGTATAGTCCAGTACTATAATAGTTTGGCCATATATTTTTGAGCAGCATTAAAAATTTGTGAAAAATTCAAATGAGACCAGAATCAGCTCAAACTTTTAAACAACATAAGTACATGTATATGCGTTAGAAAAGTTATAAAAGTAGAATTTTTTCCTTTTTTGTTTCTGACAAAATTTGGCCAAAGACCGTGTACAGGAACTTTGGCCTGATTTTGACGATTTGGTATTTTATATAGGTCATGTAACTACCATTGCAGTGTTTCTAAGTGAGGCCCTGTTACCTGTGACAACTGTCACTGGTAATAAGTGAGATCAATTCAGTGTGCATGTGCATTCTTTTAATTTCCCATGTTTCATTTTACCTAAACCTTTGTCAAAAACTAAAATGATTATAATACAAACCACGTACATAATTCACACTTCTTCATTCAATTTTAGTTGTTATAATCTTGTGTCCAGTCTCTTGGACATGGGCAATTCATGAATGGCGGTGATTTTTGTATACTTAATATGTAAACTGATATAATACTTTTATATGCATGAACAACCTTTGATTATGATCATAATAATAAACTATATTATGTTATATATTACAGATTACCGTGTATATAGCTATTAATTATATTCATAGTCTAAGGTCTAGATAAACATTTCTAAGAATTTTATGCTGTGACTGCTACAACAAGTTGACATTCGATTGTCTATTTTTTAAAATGGGTAGTAGCCAAAGCAAGTCTTCTGGTACATCCACTGAAGTTACATATGATGGAATTCATAAGATTTCTCGTACTGAAGCTTCATATCGTGCTACTGATGGAAATATTGCTGCTATTGATTTTGGTACTTCATCAATTTCATTGGCTTATACCACTAAAGGAGATGACAGAGTTTCAATGATTCCACTTGAACCTGAGAAGAGGAAACCAAGAGCTCTCAATACTATTTTATTGAAAAAGAGTGAAAAGAAAATAACCGTAGAAGCTGTGGGGGAAAAGGCAAGGCAAATTTATGAAAGAAAGAGGAAGGCTGAGTATTCTGAATGCATTTACTTTGAAAGGATCAAAATTTTAATGAAAAGAGATCAGGTATACTATATATTAGATTTTGCATATTACTTTGTACCATTATTGTAGATTATTACACGCAACACACAAGTTGAATCATTGTCTGG